AATTTGAATTTGAAACTGCACAAATTGACAGAAACACTGAAGCAGCTCCACATTTTATTCTTATTGGACATGTATGTCCTATTTGTCAGGTGACAGGAGAACCATCACAAAGCTCAGAGAGTAATAGTGACACAAGATCACAGGTGAAACTGGATGATGACCTGGTGGTTCATGACTGTATTTGAAGCACATGTGTGACTGCATGTATGTGGAGTGTCTCACTGTTATTTATCAGGTGACAGAGGCAGCTCTGCCATGTTGTAGCTTGGACAGAGGTGAAGAGGCGAGGTCACTGGTGACTGACTGATGATTTTCTGCTATAGATTAACTAGTATTTATTATCATGACAATTGTTAGGCTGCTGATGTAAATTGATTCATTAGTGTATATTTGACAAAGAATCTGAATTGACATGTCTCACTTTTTATATGGAATATGGCTGAAGTAAACTAAAGTCTAAAATACTTAGTCAGTCATTTGTTTAATAGTAATTTAACATTATATAATTCACATATAAAACTATGAATTGTAATTTTTAAAAAGCATGTAGAATAGCATATGTAGGCAAGTATATTTCTCCTTTCTTTTAATCAAAGCAAAGACAAAAAGGAAAAAAATAAGAAACAGGGTTCGGTGGTTGAATCATCCGTCCCCACCAATTCCAAAACCAAATCTACGTCCTTGGTCCTCCCCCTTCCAGGAGACGTGATTTATGTCTTGGTTTTGCACCAAGACAGTTCAAGGGGGGATTATTGCTTGAGGATTTATTATAATGCACAGAGTCTACTTTCTTGGTCATGTTATCTGTGCTCCTTAGCTGTGTACTAGTTTGCTCATCGCCATTGTTTTGAATCAAAGGCAAGGTTGTTTCATTTCCACACAGTCCATTTACCTCCACGTTTACTTCTAAGCGATGAATTTTTGTCTCCAGTACTGCAATCTTCTGCAGGAGGCTGTGGTAGTCATCTGTGGAGAGGGGAGGCATTTGTTGCTAGTTAGCCTAGCGGTTAGCACCTTTCCAGGCTATTGAGGCTGTTAGGTGCCCAGACGCTGTAATCAGGCTTCAGCTGTGTGTAGGCCACAAACATACAGAGCGCTGAAGATAAGGTAACTATAAAAATTTTGCTGTTTCTGTTAAGAACACTTTAGTCCTAATGATCTATAAATGACCAAAAGCTATTGCAGGTAAGCTCATGCGGGGAAAAAAAGGGAAAAAAAACAGCATAAAAATCAATAAAAGAAGCGAAGCATTTAAAGAGCAAAGAGAGGAAGCGTCCACACTCACAAAAAGGGGAGGTACAACCTTTGTGAGGAGCAGGTCATGTTTTCTGGATCTGGTTGTCACAGAAAACTCTGTTTTATTCTGGTGATTTTGAAAATGTTTAATTGTCATTATGCTTGATTCTGATCTGCTGATGAGTCACCGCTGGAAACGCAACACAACCGATCACATTCATTCAAGTTTCCACGTCTCCTTTATGGAGCTGTGGAACAGTAAGCTTTAATATTAAATTGATATATTATATTCGTTCAGTTTATGGAGAATTTTGTTTGTCTGCTGAGTCTCACAGGTGTGCTGTGGGTGCACGCCGCCTCCAAACAGCCATATTTACCGCATGTCTGCAGCGTCCTGCTGCTGATACTCTACTGATGTGTGTTTCATTGTCAGGGCTGCACGGAGCGCTTTGTTTCCAGTCCCGAGGAGGTGATGGACGTTATCGATGAAGGAAAAGCAAACAGACACGTCGCTGTGACCAGTAAGTCTTCACCTGTACATGTGATACTTCCGCCCCGACCATCGTGTGTTTGTTCTCGGATCAGTTTACTGAATGGGGTTTCTTCTTCATGCAGACATGAACGAGCACAGCTCTCGCAGTCACAGCATTTTTCTGATCAACATCAAACAGGAGAACGTGGAGACAGAGATGAAGCTATCAGGGAAACTTTACCTGGTGGACCTGGCAGGCAGCGAGAAGGTCACACTACTCCATCACACTCAGTGAGCACCTGTTCTCTGTAAATTTCTGCTTGCTGACACCTGGATTGTGCTTTCTGCCATCCAGGTGAGTAAAACAGGAGCAGAGGGTGCCGTTTTGGATGAGGCTAAAAACATCAACAAGTCTCTGTCTGCTCTGGGGAACGTCATCGCTGCCCTGAGTGAAGGAACGGTGAGTCTTCATGTCTCCAATCTTCAGGTCTCTGACATGTATGCCTGAAATATTCTGGATTTAACTTGATTTGTTTGACAGAAACGTCACAGCTCACCTGATTTTCAGGTGAAGTGATTGTCACGTGTCTCGTGTGTCTCTAGAAAACCCACGTTCCATACAGAGACAGTAAGATGACCCGGATCCTTCAGGACTCTCTGGGTGGAAACTGTCGAACTACCATCATCATCTGCTGCTCGCCGTCTGTTTACAACGAGGCTGAAACAAAGTCCACGCTCATGTTTGGACAGAGGTACGGCAAGTCACCTGATCAGAGGAAAAAGCAGAGTACTGTGGTTGAAGTACGTCCTCCACAGATCTGAGTGTTTCTTCATTCCGCGTCCTGTTATTTCAGAGCTAAAACCATAAAGAACACAGTGTCTGTGAACCTGGAGCTGACCGCTGAGGAGTGGAAGAAGAAGTATGAGAAGGAGAAAGAGAAGAACAGGAGTCTGAACATCATGATCCAGAAACTGGAGAATGAGCTGAAACGCTGGAGGAAAGGTGAAAAAAGATGTTACTTCAGTTTTTCACCTGGAGACGGCATTTATACTTCAATCTGCCTGCACACTCCAGACAGCTCAAAACCCACGATTGATATTGCTCTCTCTCTCACCGCTGGCACTCCCACAACTTTTTACTCAGAGCTACCGAATACCCATGTTGTCAAATAATCTGATTGGTTGATGTGGTGCATTTTTCACCAACAGCAAAGGGGGCATCATGTTTGTTTGTTTTTCAGTTTTCTTCCTGCACTAAATGTGACTATCCAGGAAATAGCTGTAAATGATGTATGTGCTTTAAAGTCCACAGTTTCCACAAAGGTGGAGTGAGACTGCATCTTGCTGCTACGTCATCTTAAATCTGTCACGTGTTTTGGAAGGCAGGTCATTTGGTGGTGGCATGAACGCATTCTGCACTTTAATTTTTTTCACATTTGGTTCTGGTACCAAAAGAGTTCGGTTAGAGAAAGATCATGATTTTTGCTGGACTCAACCCTCTGACACCAAACTACTCCTATCAGCAAGTCTCCCCACGTGACAGCCTCTGGTCATATATTCTGGCAGCTTTTCCTAAATGAGCTTTAATGATAAAAAAAACACTCATCCTTTAACATTTACCAGCTTTGTTCCAAAAGAAAGTTTAAAAGCTTTTTCTTCCTCCTGGAAGGTAAACGTCTGCCTCCATCTTTGTGTTACTTTAGTCTGTAAAGGTTTCACTTCAGGACTCTGAAGTAGGACAGAGCAATGTGGCCAAAAATATTTATCATGATATACATTTGAAAATTTGTGATAACGATATAACTGACGCGAGAAAAAATACTTTACAACTCCACAACTTTATTAGTGCAAACAATTATGCAAATTCCTCGCTGACAGTTTAACCAAAAGGCATTTCCAGTGGAAACTGGCCGACATATCCTCAGCATAACCATGTATAATATCCACAAAACTTAAAAAGAGGTTATACACACACAATACGGTAACATTATGTTGAAGCACAGTACATATTACACCTGTGGCTCCTGACTACGATGCCATAATGCTCCGACAATCCATCAAGCGGTGCGGCTTTGTAGCTTAGCAAAGTCATATTAAAACATTTTTGACAGATTTCTGAGCGCCGTGCACATAAAATCGGTTCGAGGTCAGTAAGCACAACCAGAATTCATACATAAGGCGCACTGTAGATTTTTTGAGAAAATTAAAGGATTTTAAGTGTGACTTATTTTCCGAAAAACACGGCAATAACGACGGCCCGCTAGCATGCTCTAACAAAAACTGTGCTTTGTTGTGTGTCTGACGGACAAAAGCTAAACCAGTTCCACACCACTGAAGTTGCAGCATTTTTACAAACCAGTTCTGGTTCATCTGATCAACGATCCGCTTTCGCCCTTCTCATTCTCTGCCATGCTTTTTCTGCCATGTGCTCATGAAAACAAAGGCACTGCGCATGCTTGTATCACCATATTCTATTGCGATATTTCATTTTCTTATCATTGCCTAACATTATACCAGTATTACCATGAACGGCATGATATGGCCCAGCCCTATTTTGAAGGTTTCCGTTTCAAGGTTTCCGTGTCACGCTTTGATCAGTTCTCTTTAAACTCGTTTTAGAGAAGGCAGTGACAGTACCAGGGAGCGTTTTACATGCAGCTATTCACCTGTCCACTAGAGGCTGCTATACTGTACACGTGGTAGTAGTTTGTTTAGGAAAGCTGTCACTGTGAACCGTTTATGATGGAGAGTCTCTTAATATTTTGTCAGAGTGGAGCTGTTTGTGTCTGAGCCTTCATTTTGCGTCTGATTGAATTCCTGTTTAGTTTCTGTTGGCAGCTCACTGATAAGACTCTCAGCTGCAGCTCCGTCTCTTGTGATGTGAGCATGTGGCCAATGTTTTATTCATGGATCCTGATTTGATTCTATTATCAGTAATTTTGACTCCTCCAGGTGAGTCTGTACCTGTGGAGGAACAGCTGGGCAACAGAAACAAGAAGTGCAGCAGTGAGACAGCAGCAGCGATTGACAGCTTGGCTCCGCCCCCTGTCGCCCTGTCTGTGGAGGAGAAGTCGCAGTATGAGACTCTCATCACTGACCTGTACCAGCAGCTGGACGACAAAGTGAGTCGCACCTGTACCCTGTGTGAGGCCAAACTATTTAAAAGCTCAAAGACAGCAGTGCTTTTCTTTTAAAGCAGGGGTCCCCAATCCCAGTCCACGAGGGCCGGTGTCCCTACAGGTTTTAGATCTCACCTTGGGTCAACACACCTGAATCACATGATCATTACCAGGCCTCTGGAGAAGTTCAAGACATGTTGAGAAGGTAATTTATCCATTTAAATCAGCTGTGATAGATCAAGGACACATCTAAAACCTGCAGGGACACCGGCCCTCGTGGACTGGGATTGGGGACCCCTGTTTTAAAGGATTGTGGAGGTCTCATGGCGGCAGCTTTGACTGCGGAACAAAAGATTTTTAAAAGGGATCACTACAGGTTTTCCCTTAGTCAGCAGTTGTCCCTCTCCTAGATCAGCTGGAGCTTTCTTTAGGCGCCTTCCCAGCTTTGACAAATGTCCAGCTGTGATAACCACATTTGCTCAGGGCCTTCTTGATGTAATGAACATCTTATCAAAGAAACTGACCTCACAACCCAGTGTTAGTCAGTGGTGCTAGTTTCAGTCATTGTGCTAATGTCCTATTTATAAGGTTGGAAACCTGCAGTCAGCTGAGACTGAAGAGGCCCACCTGGGTGATGATGCAACGTTTCTCCCACTGAGAACATCCGGATGAGCACAATCAACCTTTGGGATCTTTAGTGAAGGTTACAAATGATCTTCTTGTGGCCTCTGACAGTGGACTCATCTCTGTGCTTGTCCTGCTAGACCTCAGTGCAGCGTTCGATACTGTCGACCATAATATCCTATTAGAGCGATTAGAACATGCTGTAGGTATTACAGGTACTGTGCTGCAGTGGTTTGTATCATATCTATCTAATAGATTCCAGTTTGTTGATGTAAATGGAGAGTCCTCTTCACACACTGAGGTTAATTATGGAGTTCCACAGGGTTCAGTGCTAGGACCAGTTCTGTTTACATTATACATGCTTCCCTTAGGCAATGAGCATCTGCATTTTAAAATTGGCTTCACCGCTGCTACAAAAAAGTAAGAAACACTTAGTAACAATAAATAATTACTGTAAAAGTAGAACAGTCAAAGTCTGATTCTGCCTTTCTAACCTGGATTTCATTCATTATTTTCTCCAGGTAGCTCTAAACACTCTGGATTCTCTGATTAGTTCAGCTGCCATTCCTCTGCTGCTCTGCACCGCTTCGGTCATAGACTCCCGCTCTGACCCACCCTGTCACCATCACCTACATATTTATTGATCAGTCACAAATAGCTAGCTCTTAGCCATGTTAAAGCAGCTTTTACATCAAAATGTCAATAATTGTGTTGCTAGGCAACACCTCTGTAGTGGATAATTTATGCTGGGTCAAAACATTCTCTCCACTTCTAGGTTATAGTGGTCATAATTATTTGTCTTTGGATCCCACACACCCAAAATTCAGTATTTGATGAGTAAGTCCATTTTAGAAAAATCGGGAAATATGAGATGATAGGGTTTTATTTTAACAAGGTAACAGTAAAATGCCAAGGGATCAATGGACAGTCCACGCCAAAATTCCAGCATGTGCAGTAACCCCGGAAAGCACGCAGTGTCTTCTGGATAGTGTGTGAAATTATCTGTTGTCACAAGTTGCATGAATGGGCCAGATCTTGTCTGGTTTTGTACAGTCAGTCTTCTTAACGCCTGCTGTGGTAACTAGCTGGAAGACATGTTTAAATCATTAAACTCTGTCTGATTGATGTTTAGGATGATGAGATCAACCAGCAGAGTCAGATGTCTGAGAAACTCAAACAGCAGCTGATCGACCAGGATGAGGTGAGTCTCACCTGAGTGTTACATTCCATACTATCCACTGATCGATGGATCACAGGTTAATCAATAGCTCTCCACCAGCTGCTGGCATCTATCCGCCAGGACTATGAGCGGCTGCAGGAGGAGCTGTCCCGCCTGCAGAGGGAAAGCGATTCAGCTAAAGAGGAGGTGAAAGAGGTGTTGCAGGCGCTGGAGGAGCTGGCTGTCAACTATGACCACAAGAGTCAGGAGGTGGAGAATAAGAACCGCTGCAATGAACAGCTGAACGACGAGCTTGCTCACAAAACTGTGAGTCCACAGTCAGAGGGATGGATGGATGTTTGAATGGATGCATGGATGGATTTTTGGATGGATGGATTTTTGGATGGATGGGGGTGGATGGATGTTTGGATGCATGGATGGATTTTTGGATGGATGGATGAATTGATGTTTGGATGGATGGATGGATTTTTGGATGTTTGGATGGATGGATTTTTGGATG